GGTTTTGAACCGCCAGCCTTCTGGTTAGCAGTCAAGTGCCTTAGCCACTATGCTACCAGAGCTCCCAACTAAAAGACTAGGTTCACCATATATATAGCTTTTTTTAAGGTACTTTTATAAACTCTTTGAAAACTTTAAACTCAAGTATTTCTGGAACAAGTCTAAAGTGTGGAGCAGCTAACCTGTTTTGAAAGGTGGGAACTATTATTGCTGCCAAAGGCAAATCACACTGGGACCATGGATTTACACAAGGAGCACATAATTAAAATGACCCCTTGTAAAAAGTTTCCTGCTCAGCCTAGCAAGTACTGAGAACATTAGCGACATGCTTAGTCTAAAACAACTGCTCCTTCTGAGAAACACACAGTAGCAGTAAAAGCAGCTGCTATTTTTTCCCACAAGAATAGCTTGGGGCAATGACTGGGAGGGGCTTGAGGGTGGGCCTTCTAGGGTGCTGTCTATAGTCTCTGTTAGAGTGGTAATTGTGTGTGTGGTTTGGGTATTTTTTCTCTTTTTAACAGCTTCATTGAGACATAATTCATATACTATATGTGCACCCTTTTAAAGTGCACACCTGGAGTGGTTTTTAGTATATTCACAAAGTTATGCAACCATCACACTAATTCTAGAACATTTTCATCACGCCCCTCCCGCCCAAAAAAAAAAAAAAACCCTGTATCCAGTAACAGTCGCTCCTCATTCTCCCCTCTTTAGCCCCTACAATCACTAATCTAACTTTCTGTCTCTATAGATTTCCTAGTTCTGAGAACATGTCATATAAATGGAATCATGTAATATGCCTTTTGTAACTGACTTCTTTCATTTAGCATAAAGTTTTCCAGGTTCATCCATGCGGTAGCAAGTATTGATACTTCATTCCTTCTTATAAAAACAGACCACATTTTGTTTATCCATTCATCAGAGGTGATGGACATTTGGGTTGTTTCTTTTTGGATATTACAAATGATGATACTATGAACACTTATGGACAAGTTTTTGTGTGGACATATGTTTTCCATTTTCTTGGGTAAATATCTAGGAGTGGAACTGCTGGGTCATATGGTGTTTCTGTTTAACTTATGAAGGTGTTTGTTTTGAGATAATTTACTGAGCTGTACCATTTATACCTTGATAACTTTTCTGTGCTCACTGTTCAATAAAAAGTAAAATACCAACAAAATATCCAAGTAACTGTTGTATTAACACCAAGAGCAGAAGCTTGTCTTTAAATTGCTTGTTTTCCTCTTTTTCTACAAGCTGTTGATTAAGTCTTATGTTTGGCTACCCAATTTTAATTAAGTTCAATTTGAAAACAAATGAAATGGGAGAGAAACTTTGGCAGTAAACATTATCCCTACCTGTGTTTCTTCTTCTCTACGTTCATGTATGTAGAGAAGCACTGAACTTGTTATTCAGAGACTAAATTGCCGACTAGATCTCCTTCTTCTGCTTTATTAATATCTGGTCAAAATCAAACTCTTTGCCATCAAGTTGATTCTGACTCATAGTGACCCCAGTGGATATCCAAAGCTTAAAATCTTTATGGAAGCAGACTGCCTCGTCTTTCTTCCACGGAGGGGCTAGGGGGTTCCAACCACCAACCTTGTGGTTAGCAGCCTAATGCCTTGACCACTACACCACCAGAACTCCTTTTATTAATATCCAGGAGCTATTAAAATACTCTTGTTGTTGTTTTGCTGTCGAGTCGGCCCCGACTCATAGCGACCCCTCCTTGGGTTTCCGAGGCAGTATCACTAGGGAAGTAGGATTGTCCAACCTTCCTTCCGAGGAGTGGCTGGTGGGTTTGAACCACCAGCCGTCTGGTTAGCAGGCAAGTGTCTTAGCCACTATGCTACCAGAGCTCCCCTAAAATACTCTTAAGTATACCAGTATAAGTAAGGACCACATACAAAAGATGGTCACCAACCTTCCCTGGAGTTAACTCTTAAAGTTTTCTGCCTCTTTTAGGAGCTTTCAAATGGTACTTTAAAACTTAGGGCATGAGAATGTTTCATGAGAAACATTCGTATGACTCCACAGTCGATGACACAAAATTTTTTTAAGTCATACAGACATAAGCATTTAAAGGCCTCTCAGTGAGAAAGAAGAGAATGAGATGAAACCCATGACTCAGAAATATGTTATACTAGAAAACAAAAGAGTCAAATCATTTTAAAATTTCAGTGAAGTGGCTTGATCAGTAGATACAAATCATCAAAATATGACATAAGGCTGCATAAGAATCAGCTATTAAGAAATAAACTGTCACCTATGGAAAATAAAATTTTATCTGCTTCAGATTCTACAAGGCAATTAACCACAAACTCATTTACTTGGTTATAGCCTCAGTGATCCATACAGCAAATATGCGCACGACAGGTGCCAAATGTCTCTTGAACAAGCTACCATATGAAAACGAAAGCAATCCCTACACGTTTTTACTTAATTAGAAAATACGTTCCATTCAACCCAGCAACTGGAGTGATACTTTTCAAACAAAAATAAAATCATTTCATTCCTCTGAGTTCTCCATAGGCTTTTCTCCGATCAGAGTCTTGGCAAAGTTCCACAAAAAAGCCTACCCAATCTGCTCTTCACCCCTTCTCCTCATTCCCTCAGGCCCAGCCACACCAGGCTACTTACACATACCATCTCAGAGCCTTTGCACTGACTCCTTTCTCTACCTCCATTGTTTTTCTGCTAGATGTCCTAAGGGCCTATTTCATTCCAATTTCATCTTTTCAGAGAGGCTTTAACAACTACAGTCTTCTCACCTGAACTCCTTATTCCCATTATCCTGCTCTATTTATCCACAGCTCTTATCACTTTTAACAACTGATATGACTTAGTAAGTATGTCTCTCTCCTATAAGCACAAGCTGTTGTTGTTGTTAGAGGCTGTCAAGTTGATTCCAACTCATGGCAACTCTATGTGTGCAAAGTAGAACTGCTACACAGGATTTTCAAGGCTGTGACCTTCAGAAACATATCACCAAACCATACTTTTGAGATGCTTCTGGATGGGTTAGTAGTCCGGGAGTTTGCCATCTGCACCACCTAAGGACTTTTCGTAAGTATATAACCATCCCCAAAACTTATCATTTCTACTAGGTTGAACCATAACAAAGTTCTGATAGTAACTTGTTTTTGTAATCCCAAAAATAAACAAATTTCTGAGCAGAGTTATGCACCACAAAAAGTCCATTTAGGCAACTCTGACCTCATATATGCCCATGGTCCTATATAAGGCTATAACAGGGTCCAGAGATCTCCATCAAGGAACAAAACATAGCAAACAGCTTCCTGCATGCAACATGTATAGCCTATGTCTCTCGTATACAAAGTGACTGGACTGCCAGACATACAATGGTACAAGTAATAGTTGGAGTTGTGTGTCAACTTGGGTGGACCACAATTCTGAGAGGTTTAAGGAGTTGTGATGTGGGTTATCGCCATGATGAGATTGGATGTACATGCTTTGAGCAGCCAATCAGTTGAAAGGACGTTTCCCTAGGGGTGTGGCTTGCTTCCAATATATTTATGGACATCCTAGGAAAAGAGACACTCTTCTATAGATCAGGA